GGGTGTGAGAGGAGGGAGAAATGATCAGGTAAACTTGTTCACAACCATAGTTTGATGATTGGATTGAGTGAGGAGTTCAGATTCTTTGTTCGCCACATTTACCTGTCCCTGTTATGGAGGGTGTTACGACACAGGCCGCCGTGTCGCGATGTGGACTGTGTCCTTGTGTGTCCTTGTGTCCTCTCAAAGAAGCTGCTTGTTGTGCATTGTGTTCCTGCGACTGATCTGTCCTCTGTCCTCACCGCTACTGGACGGAATTGACTACTACAATTTGGTGTTAAAAGATTGATGCATGCTTTCACTGACTGCTGTTGCCCTTTACACCTAGGAAAATCATAACAGTTGTTTCTAAAAATGATTTCAGTTATTCATGTTTCTATAATTTAGCAAACAGTTCAGGGATAGCTTCTAGTTGTTATTGTAAAGTACATGTGCTGCTGAGTACTTTTGGAACATTTCTTTATTGAAATTTGTTGTTGTTGTTGTTGGTGGAAGGGTGCACTTGTTGTGTGAAGGACAGCGCAGCACTTGATGTATGCTTTGATGGACAAGTTCTATATCTTCCCACATCTATCTGTCCCTGTGGTTTGATGCCCCTGCGTAATTCAGCAAAATTTGATCTTTTTTTTTTCTTCAGAATTTCTGATTATTTTCTTTTATCATTCTTTGTCAAAATTAACAGAATCGCATGATTTCATAATTTTGGGCTCATTTTGCGTAATTTCAGAATATTTTTGGCCTAAAATGGTAGGGACAGTCTTCTAGTATGTCCAGTGGTGTTGGAGTCTGCCATGTCAGTATAACTGCACTTGAAGAAACATTTCTGAATAGTGTTTCAGTGTGATAGGGGGAAATGTTTAAAAAACTGTACTTCTAATTTGACCAAAGCAGCAATCGGGGAATTTTCCAAGTTCAAATTGTAAAAAGTAGAAAGTACTAAAGTATAAATCACAGATGTATAAAGTATAAATCACAGATGTATAAAGTATAAATCACAGATGTATAAAGTATAAATCACAGATGTTTAAAGTATAAATCACAGATGTTGAGTAGTTGTGTTTTGGGGTTTTGAAAATAACTCAAGATTCACCGTTAAGAAATAATTTGTCCATTTTGTGAGAGATGGTCTATCTGACCTGGTGGCAGAACTGTATATATATTATTTGTCTGTCTTGTTGTGTACAGAACTGTATATATATATTTTGTCTGTCTTGTGTACAGAACTATATATATATATATTTTGTGTCTCTTGTTGTGTACAGAACTATATTAATATATTTTGTGTCTCTTGTTGTGTACAGAACTATATATATATATTATGTCTGTCTTGTTGTGTACAGAACTATATATATATATTTTGTGTGTCTTGTTGTGTACAGTCTGGGTGACGGGGTGACGTACCCGACTCGCACCGTGGACCTGGACTGTGACGGTCTGCTGGGACAGAGGCAGCGCTGGATGGAGGAGGGGGACAATGGTGAGTTGTTGAGGGGGGATGGGGGGGGAGGGGGGATGTCTTCTCATCCCTCGATGGAGGGAATGTGCTGCTAGTCAATGCTGGTGGTCACGGGTGATCTGGTGTGCTTTGCTCTTTCTGTCCCATCAAACATCTATCGTCCTTATCTCTCCTCTTTCTGTCCCATCAAACATCTATCCTTATCTCTCCTCCTTCTTTCCTATCAAACATCTATCGTCCTTATCTCTCCTCCATCTTTCCTACCCAACATCTATCGTCCTTATCTCTCCTC